ACTATGAGCACATCAGCAGGGACAGCTGTGCTGGTCTCTGAGGTGGGTGTGTGTGGGGGGAATTCCGCCTGGCCAGGGAGCTGCAGGTCTCCCTCTCAGGGTACATGTGAACCACAATGCTCTGAGAGAAGGACTGACTGTGGGGTCTGGGGGCCATAACGGTTTGAATTCCCCTTTCCTGGCCCTCCAGGGGCCGTTCTGTTCCCTGGCACCTCCCCCTACCCCGGCTTCCTTCCTCCTCTTCTGCCCCAGCCCCTCTAGGGTTCTGAGCTTCCCTGGCACTCTTGGACACTGCTAACCCCACTTGAATGCCCAGATGCCCAGAGAGGACCTACCCCAGATGGGGGCCAACCACAGCCTTGGCTGGCACCCCTAAGCCAGCATGTGAGTATGCATGAGTTTCAGGAATTAGTGGTACCAGCCAGGGGGAAGGGCTGGAGGGGCAGTGGGAGGCCTGTCTCAAAGGCATGCAGGAAGGGGCCCTGTCGTGGCCAGACTTTGGTCCTTGCCAGGAACCAGCTCCAGATGTGGCACTCCACAAATATTAATTACACATTCCCAGGGAGCACTAAGTAGATGGGGTATCGGGATGGCCAGGGGCAGACAAGATGGGCTGGGACTGTGCCACCATCACTGGTTCAGAAATGCCATTCCTGAGTACCCAGAGCAGTGAGGACACGCGGACACCATCAGTCTGAATCACCATGCCTGTCCAGAGAAACACAGCAAGTGGGGAGTAGAGGAGGAGATTTGGGGGTAGGGATCTCTGAGTCCTAGGGTCCTGTTCTCTGTAGACGCAGCTCAGCAGCTGAGGAGAGGGGCTGCCTCAGGGTAGCTCCTCCAGGCAGGCCCCAGGCCTGCACCTCTGGCTTTGGTACTTCTCCCCAACCCCACTACCACGTAAGACTGGCCTTTCGGGGCTCCAGGATGGGACTGGCTAGTGGAGACAGTTGCTCATGACCTTGGTTTTCCCGTTGGTATTTAGGACCACAGGAGTAATGAGCCGCATGCAGCTGGGCTAAGGCCATCATGGAACTGAGGCAGCCAGGGATGTTGACAGGGCTCTAAGCCATTTCTGCCCCAATCAGAAGGCTAGGTAGGAGGGATTGATGTGGACTGAGAAAGGCTCCCATAGGCCCAGGCTTGGCTTGACACTTTGCAGAGAGCAGCCTGTGGACCCCAGACATGGTCATCCTGGATCTCTGTTCCCAGCCCAGCTTTGTCCAGGAAGCCTTCCCTCACTCCAGAGAGAGGATCTTCTTCAGAGACCCTACAAGGAAGGTGTCTCAGCCAGGTCAGGAACCCATCTCAGGATGGTACACTTGATGAGCCACTGGTTCTTCCTCATGTCTGACTATAATCTCTCCTGCTTTGCTTTCTCACAAGGTCTCTGAAGTTGTTCCCCTTCTACACTGGACACCCAGTCAGAAATGAATAGGTTCCTGGCTGTACCTGTCAGAGTGACCTGGGCTTCAGAGTGGGGAGAACGGCCATCTCCACGTCCTCCCGCATGCACCCCCAGGCACCTGATGAATTATTCATCCTGATCAGCCTCATTATGTAAATGAGCTCAGAGCCCAAGCATATGCTCTCTGCTCTTCCCTGCCCCCCCCCCCACAATGGGGACAATATGGTGATGATGGGGGAAGGCAGAGAAGGAGCTTGGGAGACCTGGATCAGCTTCCAGGGGTTCTGGAGAGGGCGGACTACAGTAGAGCCCACACTTCTGTGGCCTGTTCACATCAGGAATAGGCCAGGGCTTTGGGGGGGGGACTGAGGTACCTGGGGGGGGCCATGGCTCAGGAGTGTCTGGCTAAGCATGGGGGTGGGGATGGCATGTGAACACCAGGCCACAGCCGGAGCACCCACTATGTGCTGGCCCTGGGCTGAGATGAGGAAACGTGATGGGGTCTTTGCAGACAGCCCCCACACCTCACCTTGGTGTGCTGTGGCTCCTAAACTGTAAGTGGGCTCTGGTCTGCACGCAGCCATGCCTCCATGGGGTTGTGGTCGGGAGGAGGAAAGTGCCAAGGCAAGGAAAATGCTCCCAAATGCCACTGTCTGCGGTTTCTGGACTCCTGCCGCGACCAGCTCTTGGGGTGCCCAGCTTCTGGGAGTGGGGCAGCCTCCAGGACCAGGGTAGGGGCAGAGGGCACCCATGCAGGGGAGGAAGGCCAAGGGGGCCCAGATGCCAGGACACCCCAGCTGCAGGGTGTTTGGGGGGAGCACACAATCAGCTCAGGGAGGTCTGAGGCTGTCAGCTTGGTGGAGCTGGTGCCAGGATCCCCAGGAGCATCCGCGGTTGGGTCAGGGCTCTGCTGTAAGCATCCTCCCAACCCATCAGAGCTGGGCAGGGGCTGGCCACACAGGCCCTCTCATATGCATCTGAAGGAGAGCCACGGTGACTTAGTCAGGTCTGGGGTGGCTTGTAGGGGGCGGGGAGGTTGGCTCCCTCCCGCTCCTGTGGGGTTGTCCTTTTCCTCTGGGATTCTTTACCTGCTTTCCCGCTGCCCCCCTCACCAGAGCGCCAGGCGCCAAGAAGCAGCCCCAGAGCTGTCAGCGGGAAGTGGGAGGCTGAGGAAGCTGGTGAGAAAAAACTGGAGCAGGACAGAGAGCCGCCGGGGAGCTGGCAGCCGTCGGCAGGCGGAGGGATGCCAGGAGGAGCCAGCCAGGAACGCCAGGTCAGCACTTCTCTGACTGTGGCCAGGCTGGCCACCGCCGCACCGAGCACGGCCCCTGCTCCAGCCCGGCTCCCCACTTCCCCAGGCTCACCCTGCCCAGCCTTCCAAGAGGTGCCGCTAGAGGAGCAGCAGGCTGGGGACAGGAGTCAGAAGCCCTGGTCCAAGGCTCAGGGCCACGACAGCCAGCTGCGTGACTCTGGTTGTGGCTGGCCGGGTGGGGGTGGGGGAAGATGTGCTCGCCGAGGAAAGTGTCTGGAATCGCTCACCTCCCATCAGAAAGGGAGGGGACAACAGGTCCTTGGAGTGAAAACTCCGATCAGTGAGGGAAAGTCAAATTTCTAGAAAAGGGGGGGTATCTGTGTCAGCCCATCCACTGTTATTCTCATCTCATCACCTTATCCTCCAGCCAGACCTCCCAGGCACGCCACAGACCAAGAGTGAGGATCAGAGAGGGTTGGGGACTCGCCCAGGAGCACACAGTGGGGATGCTGAGCTGGGCTTCCATCTCTGGTTCTCACCAGCCAGGGAGCTCAATGGTTCAGACAGAACCAAATCTCAGGTACGAAATGTGTGCATTATCTTCTTACTGGCAAACTTTCGGGGTCTGAGTTGCCCATGACTATAAAACAAACAATGTCCTCAAGCTGGGAATTCAAAGCACAGAAGATTCTTGACCGGAGGTGCGTAGTTAACTACTTATGGTACGTCTTATGTTCCAATACAAGACTTGGAAAGGCACAACGATGCACATTCCAGGGTACTATCACTTCTTCATTAACCTACACGGCTACACTTGGCAGCACCCACTTAGAACCTAATCTGTGCCGGGTACAATTCCTGAGCATGAAATGACTTCTGTTCTGGGACAGCTCTTCCTACAGAGCCTTCTCTGGAAAGCTCTGCTGGCCTCCAAGTACGGCTGAGTCATTGAGAGTTCACAGGGAGAGTGGGATGGGGGTTACTGCAATTCAAGCCCAGCAATTAGGGCAGGGAGGTTCAGAGAGACTGGGCCACTAGGGGGAGGATACCCAGCAAGCCAGGGGCTGAGACCTCCAGACCCGGACTCCCGCTCCCTGTCACGCTGCCACCTTGTTTGCCAGCCCTGATCAGCTGCATCTGCGCTGGAGGGATAGCCCCATTCACAGTCAGTGGCGACGTACTCACCGCCAGCCCCGTTTCCTGGGTACCTGCCCCAAGCTAAGCAGAGGGGGAGGACCAAGGCTAAGACCCCATGGTAGCTTCCCCATACACCTGCTGATCCCAGTCCTGAACAAGAGGGATGTCACAAACAGGGTCCAGACCTGGCCTCTTGGCTGAACCACCTACAGAAACTCTGTTTACTCTGCTGTTCCCGGGACAACCATCGGCAGGAGAGCCCTGTTACTCCCCCGCTCAGTTCTGGTTGGGTGTGCTGGCCCAAGCCTCCAGCAAGAGCTCCTCAAAGTCCCCCCAGGTCCCTGGGAGTCCCACCCAAGCACTCCAAGAGCTCAGCTCTCCGAGCCTCTACATTTCCACATAAAGAGCGACGGCTCAGGAACCTGACAGCGACACATTTTGCAGCCTTCTGGGGGTGACGGATGGCCTGCTCTTCACATCACTATTTCAAACATTAACATAATCTCCGAGGATGAATGTGGTCGCTCACGCCTAATCAATCACCCCTCCTGCCCTGATCCCTCAACTCGCCAAGCACAGGCTTTCAACCCGTCTCCTGCTACAGTGCCCTGAGCAGCAAGCGCCGCGCTCCGCTGTTGTCGGCCTGGCCGTCCCACTCATCGTGTGGACGGTTCCTCAGCCTCTGTGTGCAACCGCACCCACTGCACCCTCCAGCGCCTGGCCCCCTGCCTCAGGGGCTACCTCAAACACAGACCTCACCCACGTAAAACCCTGAAATTCTGGGGCGCCCAAGTGGCTCAGTCAGTGAGGCATCTGACACTTGATTTTGGCTCAGGCCATGATCTCAGGGTCGTGGGATTGAGCCCCACGTCAGGCTCCACGCTCGGTGCAGAGTCTGCTTATCCCTCTCCCTCTGCTCCTCCCCCCGCTTGCCTTCTCTCTCTCTTTCTCAAATAAGTAAATAAAATCTTTTTTTTAAAAAAGCTTGAAAGCCCAACACCCCGACATCAGAGCTCACTGGCTAGTGCTCAGTATCAGAAAGAGCAGGCGAAGTCCTGGAGGAGCGGCTGTTTTTCTAGTAATTTCCCCACCTGCCCCGTTGGGACCAGCAGTGGCCAAGCTCACTCCTTATTTCTGAAGCCCTTCTCCCATTCCCACTCAGAAGAGGGTCCCTGAGCAGAAAGCAAAGAGCACCGGGCTTACCTCACGGAGCTGTTGGACACCCCCAAAGATCCGCATCACGCCATCGATCTCTTGTTCCAGGCGCCGGGCCCAGTGCTGCATCCTGTGTGCAGAGAGGAGAGAGGTGTCAGGAGGGCCCCCCTCCCCGGTGCTGGGACAGCCCAGCGCCGAGTGACCTGGGGCGTGACCCATAGCAGCCACTCCTTCAGAACCCGATCTTCACTGGATGAGAAACAGAGACTAGGAACCGGAGTAAGCCTGTGATTCCCTTTGAAGCCTAGACCCGGTGGCCCAGGCTCTCCTCACGTACTGTTGGGCGGCCAGGGAGGAGAGCGGGTTGTAGTTTAAATGCACCGAGGGAGTCCAGCAGCTCCAAGAAGCCTGCAGGGAGACTATTTTTCACCGTGAAGAGCCAGCCCTTGATGTTGCTGCTCTGAATGTGGGGACTCTGGACACCAGGGAAGAGGGGAACGCGAGTGAGCCATGTGGGGGCTGCTGGATCTCAGAGCCTCCTGTCCCCAAGGCTGGGTGAGGCCTGAGGAAGGGGAAGGAACATCAGTCGCTGCTGTCACCACCAAATCATTGTGTAGCCGGGGGCAGGTTCCTGTCCCCGTGGGCCTCATCTGAGAAGTGGACGTGGAGATTTTGGTGGAGGCAGCCCTCACCTTTCCAGCACACAGATGCTATCTGAAGCTCACTGCGGCATGCCCCGCATCAACTGCCCACCCACAGGTCCCGTTCAGACCATCCCGCCCCTTTCCAGGGGCTTCGCAAGCCCCATGAGTCCTTCACCTAAGCCACCAGCATAAGCAGGTCTCCTTCGCACTGGTGTTACTCTGAGCTCATTCTGACCCGTCCCTCAGTTTCCTCCTCCAGAAAGTGGGGATAATTTGGGGCCACCTCATAGGGTATGAGAAGGACACATGAGAACAGGCGGTCAAGGGTGCTGCACCGGGATACTCGTGAGCCGACAGGAGGGACAGGTGGCCTCAGGACCCAGTATTCTCAGCCCACACCCACGGAACAGGAGTGGCATCGGGGGAGAGGCTCGATCCACATTCTAACCTGTGACCCTTCCTTCAGGCAGTGCCAGAGCAGGTGAGCTTAAAACCATACCAGGGAGATGTTCTCCACACTTCCCAAGGTGTTCTCCGCTGTGACCAAGGGCCGCTGCCCTAATGCATCTGAAAAGGTACCTCAACGTCCTCATCTCACCACACAGAGAACAAGGCCGTTCCAGGGAGGGCTCATAGGAGAGTTACCACAAAGATTTAAATACATCACGGGTTAAGCACAGCCCACAGGGCAAGGTAGGGCTGGCGTGAAGCCAGCCCCCCAGTCTCTGGAGGAGTAGCCTAGAAACCACAGGATCCAGGAGATCACATCTGGCCCTAACATGTGCCCTGGGCCTGCTACCTCTCCCACCTTCCCCAGTGTCACTCAGGGCCAGGACTCTGCTAGCTCCCTGGATCAGAAGAGCTCGAGCCTCCACCCCAGCCCCCTGCCCCACATCCATCCTCAGGCCTTTGGCTGGGGGGCTGGGCCGGTGCCATTGTGTGTGCCCGGGTCGGTTGGCATGGGAACTTGGAGCAGGAAGCGGGCGGATCACTAATTGCAATTTGCCAAGCTGAATGTCAGGACCGTGATGGAAAAAAAAAAAATCAACATCAAAAGAAATAGGTATTAGCTTCAGCTTGTTGCTGGCTGAGCCACAGCCTGATGCCCACCTCCAGTCCCCACCACAGGGAAAAAGCTAACCCCAAGCCCAGGAGGAGGCCAGGTTGCAGACCAGGCTACAAAGGGCAATCAGGCCTCCGCTGCTAGCCAGGGGAGGGCAAAGCCCAGCAGAGAGCGGAGAGCCTGCTTGGCCCCTGCTCCTATGTACCAGGTGCTGATTGTGTGGCCGTGGTTGTGGGTGGACAGCGGGGCAGGTGGCTGTTTACGCTCCTGAGACAGAGCCGGGGGGCGATGGGGGGAATGTTGAGGTGGGATGTTGTGTCCAGCTAGGTACAAAAATGGTTGAGGTCAAGGAGCTGATCTCCAAAGGGAACCATTAACTCTGCCCTGGCCCTGACCCTGACCTCAGCCACTCACTGGTCCAGGGGACGAATGCCAATCATAATCGTTTCTGGGACTAATGTGTACAAGGGCACCCATGATGTACATGGAGTGGCGCCAGCATGCCACCTGCTCTCTTGCTTCAAGCCTCACAAACCAGCAAACATTATCATCCCCAATTTACAGATGAGGAAACTGAGCCACAGGGGCTTTAGGTGACCAGCCCACAGTCACCCACCCAGGAAGCAGCAGACACGGAGCCTGATGCATGGATGTTCTAGTCAGCAAGAGCCACGCAAGAGCGTGCACCTCCTCCCAGCTCTGCATTCAGTATTGTCACTCTGAGAACTTGAAATCGGCCATAGTGGGAATATTTATACCACAGAAATCGGCCAATGCTACAAACTGCAGTTTTTTTTCCCCGCTGGAGAGTGAATTGTAAACATTTACTAGCACACCACTGATTCGGCCCCAGGCTGTTGACTCTTTTCTAGTGTATCTATAGGTCTCTGGTTCTAGGATTTCACGGATAAGTAAAAGAAAATTAATTGGAAGAACAGACATGGATGCCAAGTTTTTGTTTTGTTCAGACAACACATTATTATTATTATAATCACCATCATTTCATCTAAAAAGGCTATTTCAACACTAAAAGAATTTTAGAAGAGCCAAATCTCAGGATAAAGTCCAATTCTTTCCAAGACACACACACTCTCTCCCTCCCTCCCACTGTCTCTCTCTCTCACACTCACAGACACACATACTCACACACATACATTCACATGCACATACACACGGCCTCCCCACTTCCACCCCCAGGCTGAGCAGCTCCAGACTCTGCTATAGGCCGCAGAGACCGGTCTGCCCATGACACGGCAGGACCCACACATCCTCCTGGGGGCCGGGGGGTGGCTCTAGCCCTTGGTCTGGTGCCCTGGGCCTGATGGACAGACCGACCCCAGGCCCCAGCAGCACCATGCATCGAAACAATGCCAGGGAAAACAAGTTACTCTGATTATTCACCTAAATCAAACCCAATTAGGAAGGCAATATGCGTCCCAGTGTTAAAAAGAACATGATAGATAAATCATTTCACTGTCACTGAGATGAGATTCTGTGGGTTCCAGGGTTTGGCTGGCATAACAGTGCTGGCTCCAAGGCGTGACACCATGGGACCAAGGAGGCCCGGGAGTCATCTATGCACCCCCACAGCTCCTGTCTAAAGGCTGGAGAAACCACCCACCAAGCCGAGGCTGACCTGGCCAGGCACAGCCGCACTCCCTCTGGCAGAATGGCATGGGGGCTTTGGAAGTAAGGGGGACATATCTGGATCCATGGCCCCACTGGGTCAAAGGCAAGCTGACCAAATATGCCTGGGCTCCCCATCGGCCCGGAGCCACGTGCCTGGCTCCACAATGCCTCCTGAGGGCTGCCCATGGGTCACCCTCCCGACAGGGTAGGCCCACCTGCTGGTTCCCTACATCCCTGTGTTTTTCCATGCTCTTCACCAAGATGACACTGCTTATCTCCGAGTGTCTCTAAGTGCCAAATTAGCGAGACAGGGAGGAGAGAGAGCGTCTGGGAGGAGGCACGTGCAGCCAGGGGCTGCAGCCCTCAGGATGACTGGTGTGGGCAGCAGAGGCCGAGGACAGAGCCCTGTACCTCTGTGTCCTCTATGTGCCTGAACCCAGGGAGGTGCAGGCACTGGGCCCCCATTCCACAAATAAGAAAACAGAGGCCCCTGGCAAGGATGGGTGCAGGGCCACATACTTACCAGGAAGCCAGACCCATTCTCCTGGCTCCAACAGCTCCCTGACCCCACCCTTCCAGGACAGGGCAGCTTCAGGGAAGCCTCAGGCACCGGCGCCTGTGTGACCACGACCTCGGGGAGTTGAGCTACCTTCAAATCTCAGTATTCCTGTCTGTAAATAGGGGGAATGACTGGCTGAAAAGCTTCAATGGCCAAATCCACATGGCAGCCTCGATGCATATTTACCAGGCACTCCTGGGGGCTACAAGAGTGCCCAATACAGTGCCCCCGTGCTCAGGAGAGCTCCCATGAATGCCTGCACTTGGGGAGAGGGGCACAGAGAGAAGGAGCGTGGCAAGGATTCCTGGAGAGGGTGAGAGAGAGGCAGGGAGGGGGCACAGGGCAGAGGGGCACTCAGCCTGGGCCTGGCAGACTGAGGGCAGCCCAGTGGGAAGAAGGCCCAAGGGGCTGCAGGACGCCAGGCCTTGCTCTCCAGGGCAGGCTTCAGAACCAAGAGGAGTATGTGAGACGAGTCACTAAGAGGTAAGGGAGCGAGGCCATCCCCATGTGGGGTGAGGAAATGGGGCTGAGGACCCCCTTCAGCAGGCAGAACCACCAAGAGCCCAGCTCGAGCCTGGGGAGTCCCCGCCAAACTACAGAGCCGCCCTGGGGCCTCGAGCTCTGAGGCCAGCAGCACGGGCTCCCCCAGAGGGGAGGGGCAGGGCAGGAGGAGTGGGGAGGAGAAGCCCCGGGAAGGGGAGGGGTGGGGAGAGGGACAGGGGAAAAAGGGAGAGCCTGTGTGCAGATGCAGCAGCACAGATGAAACTGTTGCCAGTTGTTAATTTTATACGCGAAGTTGTTGATCAGAATGTGATTTAATTGTACAGTATAATCCAGGCTTTTGGAATAAATTATGCAGAAAACTCATCTATAATTAAACAAATCAAAAAACCAGAGACAGGTGACACGGCAGGCTTACCCTCCGAGGGCGCGGGTGGGTGTGGGAGGCCGGACCCTGCAGAAGGGCCAGGAGGGAAGGAGGCAGGCTTTGTTCCAGAGCAGGCAGGGGCAGGTCCAGGGAGGTCAAGGCCTAGTAGGGGCCTCAGGACTCCCAACCTCTGCCTCTGCAGGCCTCTTTACCACTATGGAGGCATTCTGCCATCAAAGCCCCGCGGCGGGCTGCCTCCACCAGGCAGCCTGTCTGGATGAACCTGGTTGCCCTGGGGACCCATGAGCAATCTACTGTCCTCCCACTAGCTCAGCAGAGCAGCCATCACAGCGGGGCAGGTGGGGGG